AACATGGCTCGTTCCAGTTTCTTCAGTTCTGAATTCTGTGACATTTGTACTGTTAACACAAAAGAGAAACTCTAAAGTAGTGAAATACTTTTATGGTTAATTGTCAAAAAATGACATATACAATAACTGATCTAAACTTCAGTTATTACACGGTGTTCTGTAAAACATGATTCTGAGAGGTTACAAATTAACTAATAAAAATATTTAAAATCAGTATTTTATGTCTGATCATTTACTTATGTGGCAGCCAAGTAATAAGTAGGATAATGTACATCCAGCAGTCATTACCCTCCGATTCACATCAGGGTCCTGATCATCCTGGTGGGGTTTATTCTGCGATAACACCCAGCCAAATGTGCATTATCCCTTATTTATATTTGCAGTTCAAAACGCCACAGAACAGTTTGAAACAGATTTCACAGATCACTGTTTCACAATAAAATATGTCCACAGTGTCAAAAAAGTAAACTAAAAAATGTATTTGTATATAATTGTAAATAATTATATGTACATTTATATGTAAATAATTTAAACAATATAGACGTGCACAATGCCTACTTTCAGTGCTATTGTTTAAACTGAAATTTCTAAGTATTTAAAGTTAAAAAAATATATTTTAAGTAAAATACCTTACAGTACACAGCCAAAACACTGGGCACAAGCAACCCATTAGAAAAACGTTTATTATTCTAGTAGCCTAATCTGCAATTAATAGCTTCAGAGAAAGTGGACTTGCAGTCATTTTACATTAGGCTACCAACATGTCAAGGATTTACTAAATTATATTTAAGCATATTTATTGAATAAATTAACAGCGCAGGGCAAATTTAATACTCACCCACATTGGTGCTGGGAGTTTTGTCTATCGTAAGTGTGTCTGACATGTTGTCTACTGAGATTAAAGAATAAAATATTACAATTAATAGGTTGTACTTTAAAATTAAACATTACCTCAATATGCATAAACTAATATTAAGTATTCATCAATTATGCATTCCTCTCTTTTGTATAAAAATGTCAATTTAATATATTTAAATTGCAAGTATAACCATTGAAATCTCTTTCACCTTGATAATGTTCTTCCATTTCAGATGTTGAAGCAATGCAGTTCTCTGTTTGTGAGGTACTTGAGAAAACACCTGAAAAATAAAAAAAAGGTTTACTAGCAGCTATCTGAGATATCTGCTATGCCTAAGTGTGCTTGCAAAAAATACTCTCAAGGCTCTTTTTGTCCAGTTCTGTTACTGAAAAATTCTGTTCTTGGTGTGACTAAATTGTTGGAACGTAACAGTGGATTTAAGTCAACATTGGTTTTAAAGTATGCTGTGAAAAACAAAAAAAATAAAAATAAAAACGTACATATAGGTGTGTTTGCAATGCATGTCTTTGGAGTCTGTGGTCCTTCCTCATCTAGTAAAATAAATCACAACATAAAATTGTAGATCAATGGTAGGTTACATTATGCAGTGAAAAACTAAGCTCATCAAAACAATTAACTCACATGTGGGTCTGCTGCTTGTAATCCAAGACATTTTTGGTGTCGGTGGAACATCATCATCATCATCTATTAAAAAATATTATCAGAAATATAATGTAAATTAATCCAGAAAGTTAAAAAAAACAAAAAAACAACCACAGATACATCTAAGTGCTGCTCACAGCAGTGCCAAGGAGGTCAACATATTAAGTTGGGTTTAAAAAAAGCATTCACCAACCAGCCAGTTACTGACAAAATGTTGTAACACTGTGCAGCAACATTAAAATTTCATAAAAGCTCAAAAACTTTGTCATGCCACAATTGTATAATTTCTCCTCCTTACGCTTTTACCTACAATAGATATTTCAGGACATTTCAAATACCCAGTTTACACTCTGCACTGCAGTCCAGTCCAATGGGATATAAATACTATAAACTGAAAAAAAACAACAACAAAAAAAAACACATACAGATATCTGTACTTACGTTTTGGTAATCATACCCAGT